CCTGCTGAAGCGGATACTGCTGATCCAAGGACCACACTTTGAGCAATGAGGAGTGCACACCTTAGGGAAGGAAAGCATTTAATGATGACAAAGACACTGTTTTCAAAGCCAGATGTTTGTGCGAACGTTCTTCTGGTCAGATTTTCAACATCAAATGTAGAAATTCCCTTGAAGACGGTCACCTAAGTAAAAGTCCTCTGTATTTTAAAGTTTCTATTTCATAGTTAAAAAAAAAAAATCAGACAAGGAAGATTTGTCTAGACCTGCCCCATAGTGATCTCATCATTGATTTTTATTTAATTTCTCAGGGATTTGTTTTCTCCACTATCCAATAAGAATAATTCTAGTTACTATTTCCCTACCCTGCAGGGATGCTTTAAAGATGAATGAAGATGTGACTATAAAATGTGTTAAAGACCTTAGAATGAGTTATATGCACAATTAAAATATTAGAGTTGTATTAATAGATTGTCACTGTAGGATCCAAAGAGACTCCAGATCTCAAGATGTGTTAGTCCAAAATATAGACCCTGAGTAGTGTCTTAATAGACAAGAGAAAGATTAAGTAGGCATGCAACTGGAACTTACCAGGAGCCTAGAGTTAACTATCAGGCTAAAGTCAAAGAATATTCTCATTACCGTTGAATCTCTGCATGAAAGGCAAATAGAAAACTCCTTTCTAAGTAAGTAGTTTCAGAAATCAGCAGTGAATGTGAATAAATTATTGACCACGTCTGCTGAAATAGAAGCTGAATATATCTAATCAAAGAAAGTTTAAAATAGGAAATGTTTCTACATCTACCCACCCTTGCCTTTCAAAATAGCTAATTTATGCATTACTTAAGATTCAGCTTATTTTTTAGGGAGAAGGAAACCTTGTGACTTCTTTTGTTACTAGTCTAGAGCTATGACAGTACCGTCAGTTTGGGAAGAAACTATTGCTACTAATCATTACAACCGATCAATTTATCCTGACCAAATTGGGTCAAAGGAGACAGGCTAGAGACATTGCCATCACAGAGACCCATAAAATGTTTCAGCTTTGAGGGCAAAGCCTTATTGTGTCATATAGCAAGGAGGTGAATTCATGGGCAGGATCTCCATACTTTCCCACAGAGAGGAGTTTGGATGCAAAGGTTGCTCACAGACAGAATTGCTTCTGGATTCTTGTTTTTCTAAAACAGCTGTTCATCGTTGAAAGACAAGGTGGCTTCAACAAGTTTGTGGACAGTTATCAAATTAAAGCATGATTTTATTTTGGTGCCAAGAAAACTGAAATCCATGCATAGCTTTTTCATAATAAACTTTTCCATGAACTTTTTAAAGCCCTCCCTCTCCCCCCCACCCATAGTTCTGATAGCAAGGCCTAGTGGCTGAGCAACAGCACTAGTTAGAGTCACAACAGTGTGGAAGGTAGCAGCACACTGAGGCCACTGGTTGGTTAGTGTTCCTACTTAACTACCCAGCAGGGTCTGGTCAATCTGGAAGAGATTTGGGTATAATTAACCAATAATTGGTTCATCTCAGCAATTTAAGGACTAGATATATTTTTCTCTGCTTTGAAATCCATGCATAGCTTTTTCATAATAAAACTTTTCCATGAACTTTTTAAAGCCCTCCCTCTCCCCCCCACCCATAGTTCTGATAGCAAGGCCTAGTGGCTGAGCAACAGCACTAGTTAGAGTCACAACAGTGTGGAAGGTAGCAGCACACTGAGGCCACTGGTTGGTTAGTGTTCCTACTTAACTACCCAGCAGGGTCTGGTCAATCTGGAAGAGATTTGGGTATAATTAACCAATAATTGGTTCATCTCAGCAATTTAAGGACTAGATATATTTTTCTCTGCTCCCATCTCTCAAAATGGAAGCCACCACAACAGAGATCTTACGTGTTTTTGCAATCACCAGTTCAGCTGGTGGGGCAAGAACAGCGCTTATTAATGTTCCTTCAATAAAGTCAATGCTATGCCCTATAACCTACTGGGCCTTGATAGTCTGCCCTGGGATTCAAAAGCATGGTCAATTGTACCACACCCATGTGCTCTCCAGGAAGATTGCACACTGAAATCTTTTTTTGGTTTTTTTTGAAGAAGGGAGCCCTTGGAGTGCAAGTGAGCCCAGTATTGAGCCAGAGGGAATGAGCACAGCCGGCACAGAGGAAAACTACCACAGGAACATGTCATGGCTTCATGTAAGTATGAGTTCGAAAAGAGCCCCGAGAGCAATTTCTTTTGGCATTGAGGAAAATCTGTGGAGGGAGGACCAAAAATTATACTAAAACCATCAAGTTGATTTCGGTTCCATGAAAAAGCAGTGTCATATATTTCTGCGGACTCTCTCAGCACTCACTAGGATTGGTAATCTGCTGAACTATACTCATTTTAAGTTTACCTAAGGCCAAAGGTGTTTTGTTATGGCTGGTGTTGGGGGAACATCATAAGTTAGGTATAACTGTGAGGGACCAGGCCAGTTGGTGGTCAAGACAGCCTGAACGACACTGACTAAATGGTGAGAGCAAGGTCATGGTGTCAGTGTTGGATCTGTCTTAGGTCAAGTTTTATATGAGGATAAGGAAACTAAAAGATGATCAAGGTCATACCTGAAAGGGCCATCAAAAAGGTATAGGCAGCAGGGGATCCCAGGAGACTGCATGCATAGGTTAGAGTTCAAGATCTGAGCTGGGCATGAAGAAAGACGTGAGGAGAAAGGTAAGGAAGGATAACCTCCGATATAGCCCCAGCACCATTGTTGGTAGTAGATATGCACTTTCACCAGCCACCCTAATTTTTATCTCACTTCCTAGCAGAGTCAAAAAAGAGCTAGTTGATGTATAGTGCTCCTCAGTTTAAAGTGCTATACATTCACTGTGGAAGTAATCCCAGAACTGGCTGAATTTGTGAATCTCTGAGGCAGCTATTTTTTTCAAGTACACTTTTTAATGAAGTTTATTGAAAAGCATGTGAAACCTCTGTGTACAGCTCAATAAATTCTCACAAAGTGAACACATCTGTGTAAACACTATTGAACTAAAAAGAATGGTATCAACACCTCAGAAACCCTACAGAAACCCTGTCAGTCTCTACCTTCCCCTAACAGTGACCACCACTCCACCTTTTAACACCTTAACTTAGATTAGTCCGTTTGAAATGCACACAATCGGCATCATATACTATTTACTCTGTAGTGTCTGCGTGGGGACGAGGTGAATAAAGAAACTCTCTGTACTCTCTGCTTAATTTTACTATGAATCTAAAACTGCCCCAAAGCACAAAGTTTTACTAATTTTAAAAAATTTGAGAGGCTTCAGATGTTAGTACCTTCCTCCCAAGAGGAGTCACCTTACCCTCTGGAAGACAACAAAGAAGCAGATCACTTTAGTCCAGTCAGGGACTAAGCTAACTTGACTTGCACTATTTCTAGTTCATCTTCCCTTTCTCCCCTGTCCCTTACTCTCCTTTCATGTATACACTTTAGTAAGAAGCCTTCCAAGATTTCCAGTGAGAGTCTAGGATATACCCTAGAGCCTCTTATTCTTGATAGATCAGAAACCTCAATTTTTATTTCCCCATTATAATAAGATTTCCAAAATCTCCACTCTGTTTGCCAGCTCATTTCTGCCTGGCCTCTTATCCACTCAATCAGCAGATGTTTAGAAGAGAAACAGTTGCCCAGTCTGACTTCTCTGAACCTCACTTCTTTTTAAAATCTTGGCCTCTTAGTTCCTCTTTTCTTTGGCAATTCTGAATTCCAGTTTTTATTTTTCAGTTACTTTGAAATTGCCTAAAGCTCTGATTGCCTTTTTGACCACTGGTGCCTAAGAAGTAACAAATGCCTCAAGCAGAAATATGTCATGTATTCATGTTGCTCTCACTTCATTGAATGCCCTTTCTCTCCACATTATATTCTCATGTTTCAATTGATTCACTCTCATATGAATTCAGATGCATATATATATATTCAAATATAGATGAATATATCTGTATATATACATATGTGTGTGTGGGGGGTAATATATGCACATGTCTGTATGCATGTGTGTGTGTAAATGTATTTTACTTGGCTTTTCTAATTATTCAACAGTAACTGTAAACTACTTCATCAAGGTTATAAGGGAAATGTATTAGTTTTCTGCTGCTGAATAAAAAATTACCACAAACTTAGTGACTTAAAATAATACAATTTTATTATCTTACCATAATACAGTTTCTGTGGGTCGGAAATCCTGGCACAGCTTAACTGGGTCCTCTACTTCAAGACCTCTCATAGGCTACAATCAAAGTATTTGCTAGAGTTAGTGTGTTATCTGAAGGCCTGGCTGGGGAAGGATTTTCTTCTAAGCTCACATCGTTATTGACAGAATTGCAGTTCCTCAATGATTGTTGGATTAAAAGCCTCAGTCCCTAGCTAACCGTTGGTCAGAGCTCACCCTTGTTTTCTTTCCATGTGAGCCTCTCCAACTTATTGCATCAAAACTATCAAGAAAGAGTCTTCTAACAGAGAAATCATAGTCTCACACCACCAAATCATGGAAATGGTATCTCATAACCTTTGCTGTATTCCCTTGGTTAGAAGCAGGTCATTAGACCAGGACATAACTCGGTTGCAGGAAGTTACACAAAGGCATAGTTACCAGAAAATGCAGATCATTGGCAACCATCTTAGAAATATGCTTATCTAAATGATGTCCCTGGGCAGGAATTTTTAAACTACGCATTTCTTAGCCAACTCTACCCCTTCCCTCAGGACTACTAAATTTGATTTCCTGAAGCAAAGTTCAGTAATACATTAATTTGTGTGTTTATTTGCTTAAATTTTCTTAGTATTTCTCTTGATCAGCCAGATTTGAAAGTAACAAAGGAAACCTTATAGTTTTTACTGTCTTCTACCATATCTCAAGATAAGGACAGATATCAGGAATATGCTGTTGATCTTGAAATATCTGGATATTCTGCTCAAACAACATTTAAACTTGCTAAAACTTTGAAGAGTACAAAGTTGTTAGCTGCGTTTGATAGGGATATGGAGTTGATTGTTGTTTCTCTGCTTCAAAATCAGTAAGGCCTCTCATTCCTAAGGAAATGTATGACAGCCTTGCCTGGTAGGTTGGGAGATCTCTGTTATGTAGACTTGTTTTGGGTCTCCCCTCAATGTGTCGCATGGTCCCTTGAAGTCTGTGTATCAAGATGAGAACAAGTTTTGTGAACAATGGAAATTCAGAAGATTATGCATGTTTGACTAATCTTGTAGCTTGGGTATGCTAGTGCCTTTTTAGTAAAGCTACTTATTTAAAAAGTTACAAACTCAAATGCCTTCATTCCTCATCTTAAAGTAACCATATCCTTTAAGTCAACTGAGTTCTCTTCTGGAATCTTAATGGGGAATTCTAGATGTGAAGATTTGAGCTGTATCAAGCTATAAGAAATGAGCTAAAATAGTCTAAATGCCATAAAAGGAAAATGATTGGCTTATAGAAAGTGGAAACGAGGCTCTACAGGGGGTTCAAGTTCTGTTTAAAGGTTATTGGCCAGAGTGGAGAATGCAGAAGTGTTTCAAGTTCCACATAGGTGGGCTGGAGTTAAAGGCATCGCACATCTGTCAATGCTCAGCCAGATCCTCAGGGACAGAACTCACCAGCTTATGTTTTCCCATCTGGCTCCTTCTACAACATAAAAGCTGGGTTAAAGTATATTTTTTTTGAATTCAGAATTTCCACTTGAAAATATTTGGAAACCAAACACTCCACAATTATTGTTATAAATTTTTGAAGATCTGTTAACCTTCTGTTTTGAGGGTTTTGGTTTTGGTTTTGGTTTTTTTTTTTTTTTTTTTTGAAGAGATCTTTCTATGAAGTATGAATAGAGGGAGAACAAAAAGCCAAGTGACATATGCTTGTCACTGTTTTCCTGTGAGAATTATTAAATAACTATGGTTTCAAGACTATCAAGGAAGGTTGACATTTTGACTTTCCATTTTCCACTCTATGGAAATGTCCCATTTGCCTCCACCCTTGTTGCCTGGTTGAATCTCAGAGATACTTTGTATTCCAGGTCATGATCTTGCTGTGCAATCAGCAGAGTTTCATCTGCACTCATGTTGACTACTGCCACCCTCACTGCTACCTGCACCACAGCCGGTCCTGTGCTCGCCTGGTCAGGGCCATCAAGCTCCTCTATGGAGACAGCATGGACTCCCTCCGAGAGAGCAACAACACCAGCAATGTGGCTCTCCGAGGCAAGAAACAGAAAGAGGTCAGTGAATGATAACTGGGTAATATGACAATGATAGAGAAAATGATGTCATAACCATCTTGCCTCTGAAAATAAGAAAATTTCAGTTAACTGCAGTTGTGTAAACCAGGCTACAAGTCTGCCTCATTCTGAATAAAGGGAGAAGATGAGTGCAAGAACGATAAATCTGTGAGTAAACATGGACTCTTTCCTGAGATTTTGTCTTATTTCTGTGAAATAAAATATAAGCTCAGAGGTGATGGTGATGATTTAGTGATAGTGTTAGGCAGAATAATGCCTTCCTCACAAGGATGTTCACTTCCTAATACACAAACCCTATGATTATGTTACTTCACATCAGAAGAGACTATAGGTGTGGCTAAGAATTTCATAATGCATAGATTAGTCTGGATTATCCAGGTGGGCCCAATGTAATAAGGGTCCCTATGAATGAAAAAAAAAAAAAAAGTCAGAAAAGGCAGAGACAGAGACAAAGGTGTGATAATAGAAGCTGGGCTGAGAATGATAAAGGCCTATGAGCCAAAGAATGCGGGCAGCCTCTAGACACTGGAAGAGACAAGGAAATGGATTATCCCCTAAAGCTTCCAGAAGGAACACAACACTGCCAATCCATTTTAGGATTCTGACCTCCAGAGCTGTAAGAAAACAAATTTGTGTTGGTTTAGGCCATGAAAGTTGTGGTAATGCATTACAGAAACAATAGGAAACTAATCATTAAGAAATAAACAACAAATACCCCCCACCCCCCAAAAAATGCAGAATAATCTAGATCAGACTAAAGAAAATTCCTTCAAGAAATTATTATATTTTTTAAGCATTCTACTGCACTTGCCTGACAACTACCCCGAGCAGCTGAGCTGGCAGAAGATGATTTCAGAATTACTCACCTAGCCCTGACAGGCATGATAGCCAGGACACCCACCTGAATGCTGCAGGCTGCAACTGATTTTGCAGAGATTTTTATATACTACCTATACATTTCAAGAAGCATTCATAGTGCATGTGCAGATGGCACAATATTAGACCAGATAGTCTATTAAAAAAAAAAAAAAAGAACAGAGGATCTTTACAGTAAGGAACTTGCAAGCCAAGTTTGGGCTGGGTGGGGCCACTAATATGTTCATCAAACAACTTGAGAATCTGAGCGATAACAACAAGAATGCACAGTTGAGTTGTGTAGCAAGTTGTAATGCTTTAGCACTTGCAAAGGGATATTTTTATTATAATTTTCCTCTTACAAATCCAATACATGTTCATTGAAGAAATTTTGAATAATATAAGAAGTCCTTTAAAAGCAGGTATCTCATGTATCTCATAAGTATGCTAGCTTACCTTTTGGGATATTATCCTTACGTGTTTTTCCTAAACATATTGAGAGGGTAAAATGTAGGTACATAGTATTGACTAAGTGCTTCTTGCTTCTTACAAACCTTGTACAAAAGATACTTTTCTCCCATTTTCATAGGTGAAAAAAACTGTGGTGAGTAAAATTGAGATTTTTTTTTGGGGGGGAGAGATTTTCACTATAGGGCATGTGCGCTCACCAGACAGACAGAGAGACATAGAGACAGAAAGCGAGAAATCACCCCCGAGGGGGGATGGTCACGCCGCAATCCCTTCTCCTCCATTCTCCTCTCGGGATCTTGGGCATGCACGCACACGCGCCCAGCATGAGTTTTAAGCCACCGGGTCCAGGACGCGAACCGCGGTCAACTATGTGGGAGTCCAGCAACATAGCCATTATGCTAACTGCTGGTTCCCAAAATTGAGATTTTTTTATAGTTCATATCTGCAATATATTTGGCTAGACTTTAACTTAGAAATATAGAATAATCAAGGTCAAGGATTTTAAGTTTGCTCTTGCATCCCACATTATTGAAACTATAAAAATTGTGATGGGGATTATCAGATGGCATAATGGTTACATTGATGGACTCCCATGTAGTCAACTGTGGTTTGAGTCCTGGATCTGGTGGTTTAAAACTCACATCAGATGCATGTGCATGTGTGCCCAAAAAATCCCAAGAGGAGAATGGAGGAGAAGAGATTGTGGCATGGCCATATCCCCTGGGGGGTAATTTCTCACTTTCTGTCTCTCTGTCACTGTCTGTCTCTCTGCAGGTACACATATTCTATAGCAAAAATCTCTCTAAAAAAAATTGTAATGGGGGACCAGCAGGTGGCATGGTGGTTAAGGTGTTGGACATTCTCACATGGCCGACTAGGGTTTGAGTCCTGAATCTGGTGGCTTGCTTTCTCACTTCCTCTCTCTCTCACTCTCACCCTCTGTCTCTCTCTGGTCATATTAAAAAATAAATGAATGAATAAATAAAATAAATAATTATTTTTTAAAAAATGTGATGGGAATGAAGGTGGGGAATAATATGGGTTACAAATAAACCATTGCCCTTAAATGATAATATAAAAATAAAAGAATATATATAATGTTTTGTGTAAACATGTATATATATTGTATATATACATATATTTCAAGCATAAATGACATTCAGAGAAAGCCTAATTTCATTCATGTAATTTCTCGCTTCAAATAAAAACTCTCTTAGCTTTAGAAGAACATGATTTATGTTGGAAGCTGCAAAAAAATACACAGACCTTATTCTTCATACACACTACAAAATTACTTACTGCCATGCCTTTGCTCAAACTATACCTTTATGTCTAATTTATATATGGCCAAATGCAAACATCCTTTTTTGCAAACTCAAATACCAAGATTCTTTCTTGAGCCCTTTTCTAATTTCCCCAGAGTACTATTGGTGAATGATAAATGCTATTTTCCTTCTTTACTTGTCTAAATCAAATGGCATTTTTCTTGCACTTTTTTTCATTCTTCACTCAATTATGTATTCATTCATCCATCCATCCATGTGCCTATCTGTCTACTTAACAAAATTTTAAAGAATCTATGGATCATACTGAGCCTACTTTGTGCTGAGCATAATAATGGGCAGTGGTCCTGACCCACAGTGGTACATATGGTCTAACTAGAGAAGCAGACATGAATCAAATAAACCTCCCGAACTGATGTAAAATTTGTAATAGTAACGAGTACAAGAAAGGAAAGGCACACCATGCTGAGGGAACTTGTGAATGAGGCTTTGAACTTGTTGGAGGAAATAGAAAACAGCCTTTCCTATAAAGTGACAGATGAACTTTGACTGAAGGATACATAGATGTTAATTTGATGCAGGATTTCTCAACCCAAGAGAAGGTGTGAGTATGAAGGGCCACGTCTGGAGCACAAAGGACCATGGTACATGATGAGGCTGTAAAACCATGTAGAGATCAGACCATACAGGGCCACGTGAAGGCTTTTATTCTATCCTATGAGTAGTGGCAAGCATCCTCTGCCACTTAATTATATTTTCATTCAAAACTAAGGTAGCCTTTCACATTTCTTTGTAATCTGAAGGATACCTAACAGAGTACTCACTTATATCACAGGAACAAAAAATAAAGAATGACTGTGTTAATAACAGTTCTAGGGCCTTTCACAAGTGTCTCCTAACCTCTGGCTCAGCTGGGACAGTGGCCAACAAGCACAAGTGACTTACCAACCTGCTGTTATTTCTACATTTCTGAATAGGAAAGGAAAAGTAAAGCAAGGGAAAGTGGTTTCTAACCTATACACATTTAAATTAGTCATCAGGTGGAGAGCTGAAAAGATGTATGAGTCTTCAGTGGCAAACATTTTATTGCCAAAATTCTAGCCTCCTGCTCAAGCTCTTTTCCCCCCTCGTGATGTTTTCCATTTGCCTGTTCTGAATCTGTCACATAAATGAACAATGCCCACGTTTCCAGAGCAAAAATGAAAACAGAGGAAATAAATCAATAGTAAAAGCACTGTTCCGATTAGAATTGAGTTTTATGAGCCATCGCTAGTTCATTCTTGTTTTCTTTTTAATTGGTTTTTATGGAAGAATATATTTGTGGCAGCCAGTACATTTTGTAACCCATCTAATTCTGATCAATCTGCTAATCTCCATTTCAATGTTTGGGGACTCACTGTATATCCTGTCAATCTATTTTAGGGTACTTCCAAACTTGAGGGAGTTTTTATAAACTAGTATTCTACATGGATATGGCACTTTCACCAAACAATTCTGTGACATTTTTTTCCTCTATGACTTCACCTTACCTAATGCTATGTTCTATGTAAACTAAATTGGTCAGGTAGCGCTTGCTAATGAAAAAGGAGTAGTTAAAACTTTTCTTTTTCTTTCTGTCAGGAAAGAGAAGAGTAAATAATGATACATGCTGCCCAAAAGAAAGGGCACAGTGTGGGTAAATGTTGTAATGTGATGAAATGGCTAGAGGTCAGCTGATTTCCTGCAGAACTAATGGTTTTCGAAAAGTTATGGATAACAACATCGTGAGGCCAAGACCAGGCCCTGAGACTTGACTTCATGGGGCAGAATGACTCCCGTTATAATGTCCATAGTTAATGTGTCAAAGAAGGGTAAAGCACAGCTGGTCTAGACTATCTTTTGGGGAGTATTGTACTTCATTAGCATGATGTTATTCCTCCAAATAGAAAGAAATTCCTTTCTCAGAGAACCTGGAAACTGACTTTAACTTCTCCGAATGTTAAATACTTTATTTTCACAGTGACTAATCCTTCATGGTATGCATCTACTTTTCTACTTATCTAGACTTTTCATTCATTTTCTTATCTTTCATCTAGCTCTCCTAATAAGATACATGCTCCAGGAGGGCAAGCATCATGGATGTTTTGCTCCCCAGCTTATCTTCAGAAGTTAGCCCAGTTTCTTACAGATGGTTACTTCAATAAGTACCTTTATTTTTCTTTTTTTTTTTTTGGTTGGTCTATTTTTTCCAGATATTCTGCAATATGTATTTATAAATAGAAAGAATAAAAGCCAAGACATGCCAATTTTAAATATCTTGACTCTTCTTGTAAGTTTCAAATATACCTCTACATTTACCTGGAAAACTACACCATATATGATTTTAGACATTTTCAAGTTATACAGAATAGGCCATGTATGTATAAACATTGCTTTTATTATACATTGAGAAGAAAAAGAGAAAAGCAATATTTCTTTCCCCAAATAATAGTGTTCCCATGTAGGTACCTCCATTTTTTTTCTTTAGGAAACACATTAAAAGCTCTGATTCACTGCATCCAAGTAAGTTCATTTTAAAAGTTTGTTTTATGTTAATAACCACATAACAGATACATTATCTTGGGTCTTGTAGTCAGAGTTTGGAAAGATGTTCTTGAAATATACATGTACTTTAGCTGTTTCTTTCAAAATATCTCTATCTATAACACTGTCAAAGCTCTATTCAAAAAGTCTTAAAGATTTCCATTTTTTTGCCTTGGTATGGAAGGAGAAAGTGTTTCATTGACAAGGTACTGGCAAAACAAATGAGCACTTATTTGTGCAAGAAGTTGCACAGCCTGGAGCATTAAAATAGAAAAAAATCAGCATGCAGGATAAATAAACAAGGGTCTGTCCCCACTAAGACCCATCTTTCTCTAGCTTCTCTGTTTACTCCATTCCTTGGCATGTAGGGAGTCAGAGTCAAAAATTCTCATCTGTGTTTATGCAGATCAATCAGGATGCTGGTTGAGGAGACAATTTGAAAGAAGAGCTACCATTTCCTGTAGATGACTATGTGTTCTTTTTTTTTATTTACATTTAATCATTGTACATCTTTACAACATACCAAGTGGTTTCTCAGTGTACATGTTACAATGCATGTTAGTCAAGTCATGGATATTGCCATGAACATTATCATCGTCAGATAACTTTCATTTTTGTTTCTGTTCTTTTATTTTTCCTTTTATCCCTTCCCTCCCACTGTAACCCATCCCGTCCTATACTATCTCTGGTATATACATCTTTGCAATATACTTTGAGATCAGGAAGTGAGATGACTCCTACTTATTCTTTTTGCACAATATTGCTTTGGCAACATGGGCCCTATATGTTCTTAAAGAAACCATTTCACCTATATATCTCAGGCCTCAGTGATAAATGCTATGAACTTGTACTTTATTGATGACCTCTGTCCTTGACTTTTTATTTCCTGACACTTTTTAAAATTTATTTTATACATGCAATCACTATACATTATTACAACATGTAAAGTGAATTTACCCAAAATGAATATACTTCACACCAGTCCATTTAAATTTTATCATTTTTTTCTCTATAACCAAATGCTTCAACTTATACCATTCAACTCTATATAAAGACTATTGAATAAAGTGAATTTTATCTGATTAAATATTTTAAGATATTTGTGTTTTTAACAGTGCAATGAAATATAATTAGCACTGAACTGGAAGAGGACTGAAGTGGAAGTTAGGAGATCCATGTCATTTCCTTTTTCTGCTAACATCTAGCTTTGCAGGAACCAGCAGTTAGCATAATGGCTATGTCGCTGGACTCCCACGTAGTCAACCGTGGTTCGCGTCCCGGACCCGGTGGCTTAAAAAACTCACGCCAGGCGCGTGTGCGTGTGTGCCCAAGATCCTGAGAGGAGAATGGAGGAGAAGGGATTGGGGCGTGACCATCCCCCCTGGGGGGTGATTTCTCGCTTTCTGTCTCTATGTCTCTCTCTCTGTCTGTCTGGAGAGCGCACGTGCCCTATAGCGAAAACCTCTCCAAAAAAAAAAAAAAATCTAGCTTTGCAACTTGGTTAAATTACTCCACCTCTCTGTAATCCATTTTCCTCAGGGGGTTGGTCATAATTCCAAATGACACAGTCATGAATGCCATATTCCTGAATGTTGAAATAACAAAAGATTAAAATACCTAGTCTAAATTACCCAAAGATCCATATCCTGAAATAAAATTCTATAAAAGGTAATGTAAAAAAATTTGAAGACCCTTATTTACATTTTTAAAAGGTGACTGATTTGAGAAACATGTAAAAAACACAACAGAACACTCGATAGACCACTCTATACAGTAAAATAGGAAGTAATTATGTATACATTTTATTTTATTTATGTTTAAAAAAAAATTCCAGAGTGTGCATGTGCCCCCGCCCCCACCCCAGAGAAAGAGGAGAAAGGGAAAGAAAGCACCTCTCATGGGAACAGTCATGCTACAATCCCTTCTCCTCCATTTCTCCCTCCTTCTGGGATTTTAAGCATGCATACATATGCTCTTGACATGTGTTTTTAAGCTGCCAGGTCCAGGAGTCAAACCATGTTGTTGACCATTTGGGATCTAGCCACCTTAACCATTAGGCCATGGGCTGACCCTATTTTATTTTTTATGATACATAATTGTACATTTTCGTGTGGGTATATCTTTTTTTTAATACAAGGTGTTTTGATAAAATCTGTGTAACTAGTATATCCATTATCTCAAACATTTATTATTACTTTGTGTTGAGGATATTAAAAAAAATCTCTCTTTTGGCTAGTCTAAAATATTATAAACTGTTGTTAACTATATCCTGCCTTACTAATATAATAACAGTAACTTATTATTAAATATAATTGCATTACTGTAGTAATAACGCTGGGACTTGTTTCTCTTACCTAACTGTAGTTTTATTTTAACATACATGTTTCTGTAAGCATAAACACTTAATGATAGGCAGGACCAGCAGTTAGCGTAATGACTATGTTGTTGGACTCCCACGTAGTCGACCATGGTTCGCGTCCTGGACCTGGTGGCTTAAAATTCATGCCGGGCGCGTGTGCGTTCGTGCCCAAGATCCCGAGAGAAGAATGGAGGAGAAGGGTTGTGGCATGGCCATCCTTCCTGGGGGATGATTTCTCACTTTCTGTCTCTCTGTCTCTGTCTGGCGAGCGCACGCGCCCTATAGCAAAAACCTCTCCAAAAACAAAATAAAATAAAAACAAAACTTTGATAAAATCTGTGTAACTAGTATATCCATTATCTCAAACATTTATTATTACTTTGTGTTGAGGATATTAAAAAAAATCTCTCTTTTGGCTAGTCTAAAATATTATAAACTGTTGTTAACTATATCCTGCCTTACTAATATAATAACAGTAACTTATTATTAAATATAATTGCATTACTGTAGTAATAACGCTGGGACTTGTTTCTCTTACCTAACTGTAGTTTTATTTTAACATACATGTTTCTGTAAGCATAAACACTTAATGATAGGCAGGACCAGCAGTTAGCGTAATGACTATGTTGTTGGACTCCCACGTAGTCGACCATGGTTCGCGTCCTGGACCTGGTGGCTTAAAATTCATGCCGGGCGCGTGTGCGTTCGTGCCCAAGATCCCGAGAGAAGAATGGAGGAGAAGGGTTGTGGCATGGCCATCCTTCCTGGGGGATGATTTCTCACTTTCTGTCTCTCTGTCTCTGTCTGGCGAGCGCACGCGCCCTATAGCAAAAACCTCTCCAAAAACAAAATAAAATAAAAACAAAACAAAAAAAAAACAATGATAGGTACATAAGTATAACAATTATGAACAGATAAACCAAATTCGCAAAGAAATAGATCAAAATGCAAAATGAGTAAATGCATACATTGTAGTTAGCTGTGTTTACCCGGGTTTATTACCATGGCTACCTGAAATACATCGACTGACATTCTAAGTCTTTTGACAGATCAAAGCAAAACCTTGATGGGTTATGCCCACATGTGCAATCACTCAAGTCAAGATACTGAAAAATTGTACCTTTTACCAATGCAGATATATGAAAAGTACATCTTTTTGTTCACTGAGGAAGTTTTAATATTCTATGTGCCTTCACAATGCTTGTACACCAAGTCAATGTTATGATAATGCACTTTGTGGAATCCAATTTGAAAAAAATGCCTAAAATGAATTAGAACATGCTGAAAGTTTTTGCATAATTTATAATTTCAGCATTGAAAAAGATGCAAAGATGAAATAGATAGCATAGCAAATTATAAAAAACTAATGCTGACTACTTAAATTTTATGTTTTAATTAGACATGAAAAAGTATATTATGCGTATAGAATACAGGCATAATCTTTTTTTTTTTTTTTTGGAGAGATTTTTGCTATAGGGCCCATGTGCTTGCCAGAAAGACAGAGAAAGACA